TTTTTTCTCATTTAATTCAAGGAAATTTTAAATTTCATTTGTTTTCTATTACCCAGTCATTTTTGAGGAGGGTGTTATTCAGTTTCCATGTGTTTTCTCTTTTTCCATTGGTCTTCCTCATGTTGATTTCTAATTTTATAGCATTGCGATCTGAGAAGATGTTTTGCAGTATTTCCATGTTTTTATATTTATTGAGGCTTGCTTTGTGGCCTAACATATGGTCAATCCTGGACAATGTTCCATGTGTGCTGGAAAAGAATGTATATTCTGCTGTTGTTGGGTGAAGTGCTCTATAGTTGTCTATAAGTTTCAGTTGGTTGATCATATTGTTTAGTTCTTTTGCATCTTTGTTCAGTTTCTTTCCAATTGTTCTATCTTTTATTGAAAGTGGTATATTAAATTCTTCCACTATTACTGTGGTGTCATCTATTTGTCTTTTCAATTCTATTAAAGTCTGCTTGATATATTTTGGGGCTTTTTCATTGTGTACATAGGTATTTATTATGGTTATGTTCTCTTGTTCAAGTAATTCTTCAATCATTATATAAAGTTCTTCTTTGTTTCTTATGGTGGTTTTTGTCTTAAAGTCTGTATTATCAGAAATTAATATTGCCACTCCTGCTGTCTTTTGGTTGCCATTTGCTTGGTATATCTTTTTCCAACCTTTGATTTTTAGTCTATTTTTGTTTTTATGCCTAAGGTGATTCTCTTGTAGACAGCATATTTATGGGTCATGTTTTCTTATCCCATCTGTGACTCTCCATCTCTTGAGTGGTGCATTTAATCCATTTACATTCAATGTAATTATTGATAAGTATGAATTTATTGATGTCATTTTGTTATGTGTTTTTTTGCAGTGTTGCTGATTTCTTTGTTCTGTGCAATTTTTTGTGCTGAGCTCATTTTGTTTATGAATCATGTTATCATCTTCTTCATTGCCATTGTTGTAGTATTTGTTAAGTATTTGTGCTTGTCCTTTTATTATTTTGATGCAAATGTTTACTATTTTTCTGTGTGGTTGCCCTGTAATTTATAATTTTCTCCCCAAGTTTAAAACAGTTTGTTCTGTCTCAAAATTGTCTTGACTTCCTCACCATATAGGAGTTCTATAGCTACACTATTTATTCCCTCTGTTTGGTTTGTAGTTATCTTTATTTGTCATTTTCTGTCTCTGGCTCCCTGATGACAGTCTTGTGTGCTTATTTTACTTTGGATACTTCTATAAACTGGGTTGGTTTCTGGGTATGTCATCATGTGTGTTAATGGTCAGTTGTTGTTTGCTGGTTCTCTGTCCAAAAGACTCCCTTTAGCATCTTTTGTAAAGTGGGTCCGGTTTTAACAAATTCTCCTCATTTCTGCTTAGCTGGAAATCTCGTAATTTCACCTTCATATTTGATAGACAATTTTGCTGGGTACGTAATTCTTGGTTGGAATTTTTTTTTTTTTAAGGGTTTTATAGATACCATCCCATTGCCTTCTTGCCTGCATGGTTCTGCCAAGAAATCAGAGCATAGTCTTATTGGTTGACCTTTTTAGGTAACTTTTAATTTTTCTTGTGCTGCTTTTAGGATTTTCTCTTTGTCTTTGGTTTTGGTGAGTTTGATGATAATTTGTCTTGGTATTTTTCTTTTCGGGGCTATCCTATTTGGGGTTCATTGAAATTCTTGAATAGATATATTCTCATCTTTCATCATATTAGGGAAATTTTCTTCTAACAATTCTTCAACAATTTTCTCTCTCTCTTCATGTTCTGGAATTCTGATTACATGTAGGTTATTCCTTTGATGGTATCCCACATTAATCTTAGAGTTTTTTCATTATGTTTTGATCTTTTGTCTGACTGATTCCTTAGCAAAGTAAAGGAGTTTTTGTCTTCAATCCTATTAATTCTATCTCCCATTGATTTGATTCTACTCCTTTGTCCATTCAATGTATTATGTATTTCTGAAACCTTAGTATTAATCTTCTGGATTTCTGTTTGTTGTGTTGTTATCATTTCTAATGTTGTGTGTATTTTGTCAATTTGTTCTTGTATTGTTTTCCTAAATTGTTCTAGAGTTTTTTTGTGTGTGTTTCCCTTAATTTTATCAGTGTTTTCTGTGATCTTGTCAGTGTTTTCCTTGATCTGTCTCTCAATCTATTGAAGATACCCAAATATAATTCTTTTGAATTCTTTATCAAGGAGTTCTAATGATGCTTCTTCCTCAGAAATGTTTTCTGGGTGTATATCCTGGTCTCTTGTTTCTACTAGTTTATCTTGCTTTTTTGTGGGTACTGTCTTAATCTGTTGTCTCTGAGACATTATGTTGTTACTATATTTATGTTTAATTTGTGGTTATATGTTGGTGTGATTCATGCAAGATTTTTCTTTTTCCTTTATTTTATTTAGATATATTTTTGTGAGTAGGGTACTGTGCTCCTCTATTTGCTAGTTGTTAGCACTTAGGCATTCACCACCTGTCTTTTGGTAGGTGTGATAGAGAATGAGAGTGTGGGCATAGATCTCTGTTAGCTATTTGTAAAGAGCAGTTGAGGGTGAGTTGAGCTGGTATTGGCCACCATCTATCATTGGTTAGTTGGTGCAAAAGCAAGTGGTGACCCTCACTCAGTGGGTGGGGCTGCAGGAGGTATAGGTATGGTTGGGTTGTATGGGAATGGTTGCTTTCTCTCATAAAACTAGAGAAAAATAAATAAATAAATAAATATGAGAACAAAAAACTAAACCACATCAACAGGAACAATTGCTTAAAACACAATAAATAAGAAAATTTTTCAAAATATATGAAAAAACAAAAAGGATAAAAGAGGGATAATGTGAAAAAGAGAGGGGAGAAAGAAAAAAGCAAAAATATCTGCAGAGGGAAGAATGAGAAAAAGGAGCAAGAGTAAAAGAATAGGGAAAACTGCAAAAGGGAAAACCAGGGGTGGGAAGAACCAAAAGAAAGAACGAAGAAGGGAAGAGAAGGAAAAACAAGTATCAATAAACAGGGAGAAGAAAGAGTAAAGATAAAAAGGAAGAAAGGAGGAAGATAAAAAGAATAATGTAAAACCAAACAAAAATAAAACTGTGTGGGGAAGGCACTCAGGGTTTACCAGGGCACAGACTGGGATGGAACCCCTGCAGGTCAAGAAGATGTGGGGGGAATTGAACACACCCCTGTTCATCAAGAGAGTGGGGGACACAAGAATAACAGGGGGAATATTGCACCTCTCCAGTCATCAGTCTCCAGTGCAATTGCTCATGCTCCCCTTGGCAGGCAGAGCCCACTCCCAGGTCACAGTCCAAGCAAGAAGGCCACCAGAACACACTCAAAATGGTTGCGCCAGCTGCTTGCTTGCACTCAAAATGACTGCACCCTCAGGACAGTCTCCGACAGTCCACAGGTCCACCTGTCCCCTTCCTCACTGTTCTCCATTCTGGTGATCAGGTACCAGTGCAGTCCTTGCCCATGCAGCCTTGGTGAGCAGAGCTGATTCTTAGGTTGTTATTGGAAAATATTCAGAACGGCTGTGCCCTCAGGACAGCTGGCAATGTGCAGCTCAGTTTACCTCCTTTCTCACTGTTTCATTCAGGTTCTTCTACTTGTTAGTATTTAATCTACTTCTTTATCCTTCTCTTCAAAGCTCAGGGTTCCAGGATCATCATCTGTATCAGTTTCAAGTTGTTTCTCATTGCTTTGTTGCAGAGGGTCTATGTAGCTTGTCTGCCTATTTGGCCATCTTTCCAGTACTTCTTGTATGTTTTGCAGAGAGCAGCCACTGGATCCCACCATAAGAAGTTTGGCAATTTGCTTCTTGGCATTTAGTCCACAAGGAGGCACTGGTTGTTTCAATAATTCTCTCTGGAGGCCCCTACCTGAGTTCAGACTGAGACCCATAACACTTATGGAGAGACTTGGCCTGACTCCTGCCCTTTGCTCTGGGTTCTGTTAACACATTCCTAGGTGGGCCCATGGGTTCTGGGTTTGTCCCCAGCATTGGTACTCATCCTGTAGAGTTGCAGCACTGTTGAATATTGCTGCATCTTCCTTCATAGTGTAGTACCTAAGGCATTTGACTGCTAACCAGAAGGCTGGCGGTTCAAACCCACTAGCCACTCCTGAGAAGGAAAATTGGGCGATCTACTTTCATAGTGATACTGCCTCAGAAACCCAAGGAGGGGTCACTATGAGTTGGAGACAACTCAATGGCAGTGAGTTTGGTTTGGTTTGGTTCTCCTACTGTACCAGTTATCTTACCTCACTTATATCACTGGAACTGGTCCTATGCTCTGTAATTACTTTTCTAGCTCTGAGTCATTTCTTATACAGGTCAGATGCAGTTTGCATCAGTTTCTTAGATACCCCATGTGGGTGGGTCTCTTCTCCCTTCTCCCTTCTGTACAAGCTCCCCTTCCTCTTGGCTCTCCAGGTCAGTATCCTTGGCATCTTCAGGTCAGCCTATTGCAACCTCAAGATTTTTCCTGCACTGGTAGATAGATACCTGTTTACCTTATTATTAAATAATGTGTAATTCAGCAAAAGCTGGATGGTGGAGCACATCTTTGGGCCTTGTTGCTTTCCTAGGAGTCTGTGGGAAGCTGGGGGCAGGGAGCAGGGATTGGTGTACTGGTTGCTGTATACCTCACTGTTAATATCTTGTTCTCTTCTCATTCCTTTGACTGTGCTGTGTACTGCTGCAGTGCGAAGGACCCTGAAGAGTGGCCTGACTCCTGAAGAAGCCAGAGCCCTGGGCCTGGTCAGCACCTCAGAGTTGCAGCTGTGACATCTGTGGGGTATCCTGAGAAGTGTGCCCAAGGAGTGTGCAAACTCTTGTTGGATGGAACCCCTCCAGTAGGGGGAGGAGGGTGACACTCTATATCACGTCTGAGAGTTCTGGAAAGGAATGTTCATTTCTAGGTGCCACCACATGGCTTGTTTTGTCCTCTGTGCATTGACATGGGTCATTAGCAGTCTCCTTCACATAATCTCTTTTATTGTGTTGGCCGTGTTTCTCTTGTTTCCTGGAGTCCTGGTTTAGTAGTTCCAAAGTGTGACACTTCTTCTGTGCAAAGGACATCCCTTTTAAGGAGCAAATCACTTCTGTCACAGTTCCTATAGTGATATGAGGCAATTTGACTAGATTCACGGACTGGGTCTCCACAACACTAAAATATCCTGATGTAAACTCCAAAATTGTACACAAAACAAAGCACAGTTTGTTTTCCTGTTGTGGATTTTAGTTGTACTAAATGTTTATACAAATTCATAAATGTATACCACATTTCAAATACTAAATAAATAGAGTTTAATGTCATAACCAGAAATTTTTATTCTCCTGGATATAGGACGTTAAACATAGGCTTCCCTCTTTCTCAGTCTGCAAACCTCTTCTGTTTCTGAAGGACCCTTGCCCAGAATGGCCTTTAGGCCCTTTTAGTTTCGTTTGTCTATAGAATATGTAGCACCAAAAACTGTGCTCTTTATAACTCCTGACTTAATTAGGCATAAGTCCTTGTTGCAGGGCGTGTTAGTAATAACCTAACATGTATCCCTCACCCATGGAGCTTGTTTCGCTCCACTGTGATGCTGAACTGAAAATTAGAGCAGTGTTTTAAAAATCTGTACTAGTCTACAACTCACTTATGTACAAAACTCACATTCTTAAACATTTACCAAGTAACCAAAACAAAATGGAGATTTTAAGGATTGTCCACAGAGAAACTCAGGGTCACAAATTTCATGCTCAGCCATCCAGCACAAGTTTCCAGAAGGGCAGGCATGTGAAGAACCCTCATTAATAGCAGTGTGACAGACAGCTATGGTTGAGCCTCTCCACAGAAGCCACTTGTCCCAGAGTTGCAAGGCTCCCATGAAGAACCTCTGCCTCCAAAAACAGGAAAGGTAAACCACTGCAGCAGGTATTTTAGGGGTTGAATGATCATCAGGCACTAATTGCATCTTTTGTCTCACTTTCAGTGACTATCTGTGCATTCCTAACTGTGGGAGTATGTGATTTATAAAGAATATACCAACGTGTTACCTGAAAAACCAAAGATAATATATTCATCCCATAGGCCTCTGTGGCCAGGTCTCCCCTGCTTCTGCCACCTCACTGGTTGAGGAGCAGGGAGCTCGCTTAAATAGGGATTTGTCAAATAATATGTGATGAATGTCAAAGCCCCACCTGAAACCTGGTAAGAGTTAGGTCTGTATATTACAGACAATTGAGTTTGTTTACTCACATTTTTATTTAAAGGGATATATAGGTTATTAACATTCATTTTCCTTATGGTTCTAAATAATGTGTAATTTTCCACATATGGTTCAGTGCTCTGTGAGAGCATTTGCCTGTGCCTTAGCGTTGAATGAAAACATGGATTATCAGGGGATAGTGATGTGCAAACAAAGGAAAGATGCATTTTTGTCACACTGTTTAGTGAACAAATATTTTGATGCCCTTCCTGGGGCCCTTGATGTACTGCTTTAGGAAAAAAAAAAAATGAATTATTACCTTGGAAAAAATGTCAGATTTGGAAAGAAGTGACTAAATAAATCAAATATTAATTTTATTTTCAGGATTAAAAACATTCTCAGAAGCAGCAAGCAAGAGCAGTTCCTTTCCTGGCTGCAGCTAGATAGAGAGGGTCTCTCTTCCTGGAAACAGCATCCTGAATAGTTGTACGAGTATGGGAATAAGGTAGGGAAGGAGGTCCCAACCTAGTCCGCACAATAGACTCACCAGAGGGGCTGCAAGAAATACTGATGCCTGCATCACATGACCAAAGATTGTGATTTAATTGGTCTGAGTAGAGCCTAGACTTTGGATGTTTAACTGATCCTCTACCTATACATATTTCCCCACTTGCCCACCTCCGATTCTAATGTGAAGACAAGTTTGGGGATCCTGAGACACAGGGTGCTTTCTTTTTTTCTTCTTTTTACTGGGATGGAGGTGAGAGTTGGAGATTGAAGGAAGTGTTTTTGAGAACTTGGAAAAACCAAATGCAATTCTCCAAGAGAGAACTGGTTTGTAATCACTATTAACTGATCAACCAGTACATTGTTGAGCAAAACCTTCCTACACTGTATGCCCACGGAGCAATGCCTGATCTTTGCCCTGAAAATCAAGAGGACAAGACAATAGAGTCCCTCACCAAACATTTGTTCATGACCAGAGATTTTGGGGAACATGGGGAGTAGTGTAAGAGGCCAACTCTTACCATCTTCCTGTCTTTTTTTCACCCAGAGAAGTACTTAGTGACTGAGGGGCAGGACAGATGAGCTTACTGGAGGTGAACTCTGAGGCCTGTCCGCAAATGTTAAGGAGCAGTCAAGGTGTGCTAGTGAGAGTCCCTGTGAATCCTGTTAGATGCAGAACCTTCTGCTCTGGATCCTTCTCTTCCTTTTGACCGCTCAGTTCTTCTGGGAGAAATAGATCAATCAAAAAGGCCTAGAAAAACCTGGGGGAAAAAAATCAATCCACATCTTTAAATTTAGTGATCTACTAGTTTTTAAGCAGCTCTGGTAGTGTAGTGCCTAAAGCACTTGACTGCTAACCAGAAGGCTGGTGGTTCAAACTCACCAGCCACTCCTTGGAAGGAAGGTTAGGCAATCGACTTCCGTAGTGATACTGCCTCGGAAACCCAAGGAGGGGTCGCTATGAGTCAGGGCCGACTTGATGGCACATAACAACTAGTTTTTAGTGAAACAGAAGGATTTTTCCTCTTGCTCAGTTCTTTTCTCCTTGTTACCACTCATTCTGCCTGCCTCTATTAGGGATTTTTAATTCAGGAGGTTGAATTTCTCTAAAAGACCTTTGAGAAGTATCAAAGTGAGTGGTGCCTTACACTTGCAAGGTGCTATTGCTAATCTTTCTAGTGATCACCACATTCTCGTGCCTGCTTCTTACTATGAATTGCACATACAAAACTGCCAACAAAGTAAACAAAAGTAACATTTTCTATTAAATGATGTTTGGGTTTTGTTTTCTTTGTGTGTTAGGCTGGGTTCTCTAGAGAAGCAAAACCAGTAAAGCTTATATATAGAGAGAGAAATTTATCATAGGAAAATGGCTCACACAGTTACAGGGGCTGGCAAGTCCCGAGTTCCTGGATCAAACATCAAGCTGGAGGCTTTTCCTGCCTCACACAGCCACAGGGGCTGATGAGCTCAAGGTTGGCAGGCAGTGTATCAGCTGTTGACTTCGGCAGATGACGAATTCAAGAACACCAGTGGAATGGTTATTGTTTGCTCATGGACAGTTGTAGGCAGCACAACAGGATCCAGATTCACAGAAGGTTCTTGAATTTTCCCAAGATGTCCATGTATATATTGGAAGCAGGCCACACCCCTAGGAAAACTCCCTTTCAACTGATTGGCTACTCAAAGGATATACATCAGATGGGAATAACTACGCCACAACTGCCTAAACCACTCAGAATCATGGTCTAGCCAAGTTGACACACAACCCCAACTATCACACTTTGGAATCTCAAAGTTTGTTTTTTTGCTTTCTTTCTTTCTACTTGAATATACTAAAGGGTTTGGGCGAGAGGGAGAGTGCACAGGGTCATGGATGACTGAAGACCCAAGTTTCATAGTTTTTGTTTTCTTCTCAGTCTATATTTAAACACAGTGCAGGTAGGATGACCATGGCGCAGGAGTCCGAACACCTGGGTTCCAGGCTCTTCACTTTCAGGTGACCTCTGCATCATCCAGTTCCCAAACTGCATCTATGCTGAGGCCCTGAAATGATACATTACCAAATACCACTGTAGTTGGCTGAATAACAGCCACCCAAAGATAGTAGGAGCTAATCCATGGAACCTGTAAATGTTATTTTGTATGGAAAAAGGACCTTTGCAGATGTATTTAAATTACGGATCTTGACATGTAGGTAGGTCTTTAATCCAGTCATAGATGTCCTTACAACAGAGAGGGAGACTTGATACACACAGAAAAGGAGATGACATGAAGGTGAATGCAGCCACAAGCAAAGGCATGCCGGCAGCTGCCAGAAACTGGGACAGGGAAGGAATGGATTCTCCCCTAGACCCTTGTACGAGTGCAGCCCTGCCAACACCTTGATTTCAGCCCAGTGATGCTCATGTTGAACTTCTGGCTTTCAGGACTGAGAAAAAGTATCTGTTGTTGTAAGCCACCAAATTTGTGGTTATTTTGTTATAGTAGCCCTAGGGCACTAATACAAGCACCAAGCACAAATGTACACTGAGAGCTTGCTATCGAGGTGACCCTGTGCGGGGGCTAGAGAGTCAGCATGTAAAGGAGAGCCATGATCCTTTGGAGAGCTTACCTGAGGTCACAGAAGACGGTCATCAAATGATTAAAATTTTAGTTGAACCAACCACTTTGCAGCTCTTTCTATATTTTATCAGAGAGATAAATGAAAATAGAAACACTCAATTGCCTAGGATATGGAATGAAATGTCTTTGCAATTGCAGTGAATGTACATGATAGTGAAATATACTTGATCCATTTTGTCAAATAAGGTAGTCTATTTGATAGAAAAATTGGTTCTGTTTGCTATACCATTCATGGTGGGTGTGGGATGGACTTTCTGAGTGTTTTTTTTTTTTAAATAGTTCAAGTACTATATATTGAAGGTATCTCTGTATTGATATGTATTATTGTAAATAATGCTTATAAACACTGAATTTTTATTTTACATATGAACAAGCTGAGGATGTGAGATGCTAAATATTTCCTAAGGACATAAGATAGGAAGTGATACATCCTGGTTTGTCTTACTAGTTTCTGGTTAT